ATCTTGGAACGGAAATGAGCTATTTTTGACCCTTGTTTTGGTTCATATCTCTGTCAAACGTCGGGATATCGAGCTGAACATTTTACCACAGCCTCCCCACTTCAGCCCCAACATATGCTCCAAATTTCAGCCCATTTGAACGTTTCTGGACTGAGATCGATTTTTGAGGGGGAGGTCTTAATAAAAAAAATTTTCTATAAATTTTGCAGCGTTTAAATGATTCGAAGAATCGAGAAAACAAAAGAAAAAGTTTTTAATATGGCAATAAAATTAAAAAATTTGAAATGTTGTGATCGTTGTTAGATTCTCAACAAGGGACCTTATTCATCAACCATTAGTTTTCTAAAGAGACAAATTTTTATAGACTGCAATTTCTACAAACGATAACAATAGAAACGAAACATTAATAACTTCTTCGTACAACTGATTTGATCATTGTAATTGTGACAACAATTGATAAAAGATATTGAATCATATATAATAATTAAATACTTAATCGATAATGTTGTTGACAAACATATTAATATATATTGATATAGCCTTTGTGGTAATGAATTTGGCTATATCTGAATTTAATTGTACGTATTGTTAAAGTTTTATATTTTATTGTTTGTGAGTGCGCTGTTTAAATTAATTTTTTTAACCCCTACTTTATTACTTTTCTTTATCATATCATTTAGAATATCTTATATTGTTTAAACATTTAGATGTTATTCGAACAGAAAAAGAAATAATATCAATAAAAAGAAGGTAAATAAATTACCACTCTTTTATTATTAAACAAAATCTTCTAATGGTATTTTTAGTTTTAATTATTCTTATATACGGCAATATTTATTTTGCCAGATAAAAAATAAAACAACAAAATACATCATCAATTGATATAAGTAAGAGAATAATAAAAGGTGCCAACGTATTAAATCACATATGGACATCTTTTTATTAGGACCAAGGTGTTCTCTAATTCACTGCGAACTCAATTTCAGAATATAGTTTAAGTTTAGTTATTCAACGTGTTAATCTAGTCAAAGATTCAATTTGAACTCAGATTAATACAACACAATATCAATACCGTAATCGATCACCTAATCTACCAAATAAATAAGACATTATCCAACAAAAAAAAAACGATTTGTAATGTAAGACTAAACATTTATTGATTATTTAAATATTTATCTCATTCATATAGAGTAAGAAATTAGTTAAGAATATACATAACAGATTAACTTGGATAAAGTTTGCACCATCTGTATTGAAAACTAATTTTCTTGACAACGATTTGGCTTGATTGAAACAACTTTACTGTGCTTTCAACAATAATTCGTAATAAGTTCTTCAAAAAAAAAATAAAATTCAAACATAGACATAATCAAATAATATAAACTTGTAGTCCCATCAATTTATACAAATGATATTTCCTATTTTGCTTTTGTTTATTGTTTCTAAAAGCACTTGAATATCGACATTTATAAACTTAACGGAAGAGGGGGAGGGGGGGGAATGTACCACCTATTGTATATATATTTTTTACCAAATTGTAGAGGAAGTGAAACTGTATATATCCTGAGATTTTCTCGGGAAACGCACCTACTTTGATGGAGTAACAGCTCTCACAAGGTATATGCCTCTATAGACCCTCAATTAGTATGGGATTTTGAAAATTTTATACTTGATGATTCGGCATTAGATAGAGTACACCGAGTTGTATATACCCTGAAATTTTTTCGAATGATTGCACGATGACTCATAGAGAAAACGTGAATTTTCCATAAAAGTGGATTTTCACTGTAAAAAAGTCGATTTTTGAAACCTTGCCTGCGATTTCAGAATTTTAGTCCATTACAAGAAGAAAAATGTTATTACAGAAAAATGCGCCATCAAATTCTCCGTATACTGAGCGGATTAGAATTTTCATTTTGTCGAAAAAGTTTTCAAAAATCGAATTTTCGCACATACTCTAAACTACAAAAAGTGGAAAAAAGTATAAGGTCGTATTAGATACATTTTTTTTCTTTAAGTTAAGTATATCATTGTTTGTCATATACCATTCGATAGAGATTTAAATTAGCTACAAAGCTATATCTAAACTTATGAGAAAGTATTTTGGCATAGTGTATTTGAGTAAAGGAACACTTTAGAAATGTATATACTAGTATGGATTTCTATGAGACATTGCACATAAGGTACACCCACCGTTGCTCAATCGATCTCATCGATTTGGCTGATATTTTTACAGTAGATAGGCCTAGTAAGGTTAGAAAGAAACTGAAATTTTTAGCTCAAACGAATGAGCAATGCTGGAGATATAGAGCTCGAAAATGCTGCTGCCCAGGTAAAATTGGAATTTTTTGTAGTCTGTATTTTTAAGTAAGTTCTCATTTTCCAACGAACAATAGATGGGATCCCCGAGATTTTTTCACTATAGATACTATCGACTAAGGGTTATCTTTTTATAGTAAAGAAAGTAGCTCATCCATGATTTCCAGAAGGAATTCCCACGTATATAAGGCATGTTGATCGAAACAGTATAGTAAAACTGCTTGAAAATAGTCTCATTTGAAAGAGCACATCAAAATACATCGGCTGCCACTCTCAGAAGTTTGACCCATTGAATTTTAGTATGTAAAATATTTTCACCAATATTGTGCTGTTCCATCCGATATATTCATTATTTAAGCCTCATGCTTTGGCGTTTCAAGAAAAGTAAATATGCATTATGATAGCGCTTGAAGTTCTCTACAACTCTGTATATCACTCCAACGGCAAAAAAAGACGTGCACGAATATTTAGTAGGAACCTCAAGTGTTGTGCGAAGCGACAAAATTATGCAAAACTGTTAGAATCCTGGTTGTATTTAGAACATTTTACCATCGTTGGTCAGTTTGAGAGTAAAATAAATAGCATATTCAGAATGAACCGAAAAAGCTGAATTAGATGACATATTGTTTTAAACAGACAATCATTTCAGAAAATAGTATTACGGTCCCAGTCAGTACGGTTTTGTTCAGATATTTGGCGTTAGTCTGCTCCAGGTCAATTTTTCGAAGAATTTGTTTTTTTAAATATATCTGTTCTCACTTAGTCTTTGCCGTAATTTCGAATATGCTATTTAATTTACCCTCAAACTGAGCTATAATGATAAAAGCTTCTGAATACCGCAGGAGTTGAGCAGTTTTGCGTACTTTTGTCACTTATAGCAATACCTACGGTTCCTACTAAATCTTCGTGCACGTCTTTTTTTGCCGTTGGAGTGATATACAGAGTTGTAGAGAACTTCAAGCGCTATCATAATGCATATTTACTTTTCTTGAAACGCCGAAGCATGCGGCTTAAATAATGAATATATCGGATGGAACAGTACAATATTGGTGAAAATATTTTGTCTACTAAAACTCAATGGGTCAAACTTCTGAGAATGGCAGCCGATGTATTTTGATGTGCTCTTTCAAATGAGACTATTTTCAAGCAGTTTTACTATACTGTTTCGATCAACATGCCTTATATACGTAGGAATGCCTTCTGGAAATCATGAATGAGCTACTTTCTTTACTATCAAAAGATAGTCCTTACTCGATAGTATCAATAGTGAAAAAATCTCGGGCATCCCATCTATTGTTCGTTGGAAAATGAGGACTTACTTAAAAATACCGACTACAAAAAATTCCGATTTTACCTGGGTAGCAGCATTTTCGAGCTCTATATCTCCAGCATTGCTCATTCGTTTGAGCTAAAAATTTCAGTTTCTTTCTAACCTTAATAGGCTTATCTACTGTAAAAATATCAGCCAAATCGATGAGATCGATTTAACAACGGTGAGTGTACCTTATGTGCAATGTCTCATAGAAACCCATACTAGTATATACATTTCTAAAGTATTCCTTTATTCAAATACACTATGCCAAAATACTTTCTCATAAGTTTACATATAGTTTTGTAGCTAATTAAAATCTCTATCGAATCGTATATGACAAACAATGATATACTTAACTTAAAGAAAAAAAATGTATCTAATACGAGCTTATACTTTTTTCACTTTTTTGTAGTTTAGAGTAGGTGCGAAAATTCGATTTTTTGAAAACTTTTTCGACAAAATGAAAATTCTTATCCGCTCAGTATACGCAGAATTTGATGGCGCATTTTTCTGTAATAACATTTTTCTTCTTGTAATGAACTAAAA